TTCATTTATTTGAACGTTAAATAAATATATGTATATTAAGGTGACGCCGATTTTCTCCCGCGAGTAAATTTGCAAAGCACCTCAGCAATATATTTATTTTCAATTTATATTACACTGAAATTCACAATTCAGTGTGCAATATTGCACATAATAACCTCCGATACTAATGGAGTGAATCGTATATAAAGAAATACTGAGTGAACTGTCCTCAGGGTGTCGGTCGAACATTCATAGAATATTCACTTGAAATTATGCCCCACAATGCCTGTGTATATTGTGTATATACACATATATTTTGTTCGATGAGTTAAGTTTGTATTATTTTCACCGTTGTCCCGGATACTAGTGGCACAATAAAAGACAAGTTCGCTTTGCAATATTTTTACCTGACATTACGTAACGGGTCAAGTCCACGACTTTAATTACAATACTCCCTTTTTATTCTTATCTGATAATCAAAATTTCATTCGAAAACGATTTTTCTTTTTTAATTATTAAACATTTTCTTGTATTTTCCATTTTTTTATTCTATTAAAAAAAAAAATTAAAATGAAAAGAAAATAAATTTCAATTCTGAATTTAAAAAAAAATTGAAACTAAAATTAATTTTCTAAAACCGTAATTTTGATGAAATTTTTAATCACTAAAATAATCATCTGGTGGTTCAGATGTGAATTTAGATAGAAAAATAATTAATCCTTGTTCTAATGGTATTAACCCTGCTTCGAATTAATGACTTTGCTTCTTCAAAAAATTATAACCTCGAGATACAAAATAAAATTATTCCATTTATTTTACGATAAACAAGTGAATTCAAAAATTGTGAAAACAATGAAACATTCGGAATTCTCCACCAGATCTGAAATTTAAATTTCTGTTTTACAAATCTTTTGGTGGAGTTTTGAGGAAATCCTCAATTTAAAAGAAGATTTAAAATTTTCCCAAGACTTTTTCTTCATTCATCATTCTTGTAAAATTGTTTTTTCTTTCTTGTTTTTTTTTTTTTTTTTAAAGAAGAACCGTGAAATTGAAGAGGGAATTTTTTTTCTTTTTTTTTGAAGCAGTATTTTTTTCTATAGTGTGTGAGAGAGGTGTTGTCAGTGAAACAGTTCATTATACAGGGGATATTAACCTCCGTGAGTGACTCCTTTGATAATCTGACTGCGTGTATCAACCTCCAGTTTCCGGAAGAGCGGATAAGCCCTTTTAAAGACCCTTTTTTTTAACACGGAAAAGAAACAATGTCTACCTGACTTGAAGTTTTTGCGGAGGTCGCACATTGGATAGTTCTTCATCGATTATTATATTCAATTGTTCAAAAAGTTCTCTCTTAATTAACAAAATACAAAGAACTTTTAATTGATCATTCAACAATTTTTTCATCTTCTTTCTTTCAAACATCGTTTCAAAAGATTTTCAAAAAATAATAATTTACAATTTCAGTAATTTACATTATAGAAAATAAAAAATAATAATAAATAAAAATTTTAAAAGTTAATAACTTGAAATAAAAAAATAATATTCATATTTTTAAATTATTAATAAAATATCGTTTTAAAATTCAGAGGAAAATTTTATTATAAATTCTCATAGCGGGAAAAGTGAACTTTCATTTAATTTTAAAAACTCAAAAGTAGACTTTTATTTGATTTCAATTCTCAAAGTGGTTTTTTTATTTAATTTCCAATTCCAAATTGAACTTTATTTAATTTCCAAATTCAAGGTGGATTTTTATTTTTATAAAAAATCCAAGTGGATTTTTATTTATTTAAAAAATCTAAAGAGGATTTTTATTTATTATTCAAAAATCCAAAGGTGGATTTTCATTAAAAATTCTCTGAATTAGAAAATAGCTTTCTACATTTCGAAATATGAAAAAAAATTTTCAAAATTATAGAATTAAAAAAATCTTCTTGTATAATAAAGAGATAAACAAAACTTTTAAAAGTAAATAAAATAAATAGGAATAGAGATAAAAATTTCTCATTACTTCTAAAAAAGTTCTCATTTTTATTATAAAAAAAGGAAAACGAATTCGAAATATATAATTTATTATTAATCGATGAATAACTTTGCGCAATGAAAGCGACTCAAGGTTGTCTATGGACTGACCAAAGAAGGAAGTACCATCCGCCGGAAGTCTTTATCGATGTTAAATTGACGATTTATTTCTCGAGGTTCCCTAAACAAATCTTTAAGTTTCAGACAAAAATACTTTCACCGATTATTATTTTTTTAATGTCGATCGAGTTTTAAAATACAGAATCTTGCAATTTTTGCATCAATTGTCAAGGCCTTCGCCTGATTAATTATTAACAATTTGCACTCTGCACTTCTCTAATTAGAACTAATTAAATTTTTCTCTTACGAATCAACGATTGAAAATATGTTTTCGAATATTATTTCTAACATTAAATATTTGAATATTTTTATTAGAAATATTTAAACAATTCTAACGATTGGAAATATTTAAACATTCTAATAATTAAAAAGATCTAAACATTTTAATGAGTAGAAAAACATTTCTCCTCTACAATTTTTGTCTGAATTGATAATTATTTGACTTCTTGTTGTCAGAAGATGAGGAATTCATTAACGGTGAAAAAATTGACAAATGTTAGTATCAATTTTCGAAAAATCATTCTTATGTCACGACACACGAGAAACAGTATTAATTTCATCAGGATTAGGTTGTTACGTCAATACAATGACATAAGATCATAATCCTAGAAAAGTGACGACGTCGATATTTGTATTGGAAAAGTGGAAAAGCAAGAGACTTTCCGTTCCTTTAGTATATATTAAAAAATAGTTTTTCAAATACGTCACAAATTTTATCGATATCCACAAAATCTTACGAAACAATTTTTTTCTATCAACTTCGAAAATTATCGACTTCATTTTTTATACAATTGAAAATTACGACATTTTCGCATTTATTCGATTTTTAAAAATTGTGTTTAAAAAAATAGAATTTTTAGAAACAAAAAAAAAACATTTTCCTAACTAAGTAGTGATTTTTTTTATTAAAAATAGAATTTTTTTAAAATTAACAAGAATTTTTTTATGAGAAGATAAAAATGAACAGATAAGTATCTAAAAAAGTGCCTAAAGTGCCTTGAGATACAAAAAGATAATAACAAGTTTAAAAATATCTAGCGGGAAAAGTCAATAATAACAGAATTGAATTGAAATTTATTTTTTTACAATTCAGAGAAATAATATTTTGATTTCAAAAAAAAGCTTTTAGAAAATAATCATTAAGCTTCGAATTTAAAGAGTCTAGAACAAATTCAAACTCTATAAAGTTGAAAATAGGGGCGAGTAAAATATTCTATTTGTCTGAAAACATTTCCGTAAAATCGAATGAAGAGCTTAAAAAAGAAAAATTTACCATATCAAAAAAAAAAAAAAAAAAAAAAAAAAAAAATCCGAAGAATGGAAAGAAAATAACAAACGAAATAAAAATATTCGCTACAGAATTTTCAGCGAGAAATTAATTTCCTTGGGGGGAAGAAATAAATTCTGAAAAACAAATTCTAAAAAACAAATTCTATAAAATAAATTTTAAACTACAAATTCTGAAGGTGAATTCTAAAAAACAATCTCTAAAAAACGAATTTTGAGAAACATTCTCTAAAAAACGAATTTTTAAAAAAAATTCTAGAAAACAAATTTAAAAAACAAATTCTAAAAAACAAATTCTATAAAATGAATTTTAAACAATAAATTTTAAAGGTGAATTCTAAAAAACAATCTTTGAAAAATGAATTCTATACAATGAATTTTAAAAATAAAATATAAAAATGAATTTTAAAAAATAAATTCTAAAAACGAATATTAAAAAACAATCTCTAAAAAAGGAATTCTAAAAAACGAATTTTAAGAAACATTCTCTAAAAAACGAATTTTAAAAAAAATTCTAGAAAACAAATTTAAAAACGAGTTTTTAAAAAATCTCTAAAAAACGAATTCTAAAAAACATTTTCTGTAAAACGAATTCTTAAAAACGAATTTTAAAAACAAATTCTAGAAAATAAATTTAAAATACGAATTCTAAAAAACTAATTTTAGAAACAAATTTTAGAAAAGAAATTCTAGAAGACAAATTTAAAAAACGAATTCTAAAAAACAATCTCTAAAAAACGAATTTTGAGAAACATTCTCTAAAAAATGAATTTTTAAAAAAAATTCTAGAAAACAAATTTAAAAAATGAATTCTAAAAAACATTTTCAATAAAATGAATTCTAAAAAACGAATTTTAAAAACAAATTCTAGAAAACGAGTTTAAAAAACGAATTGTAAAAAACAAATTGAAAAAAACAAAGTTGGCCAAAACTTTGATAGACAACAAAATTAAAAACGAGTCTAAAAAATTGTATCTATCGGAAAAGTTCAATATTCACTTGAAATGAAATCTCTTTCAAACGTCAACACAAAATTTCGACACTAGTCTCAATTTCAAGTCCTGATAAAAAATTCGCACAGAGAGCAAAATTTCCCAAAAATTCCAAACTGATCAGATTTCCTACCACAATGAATTACAGATAATTAAGTTTTTAAAAAATTCCAAACCTTGTTAATTCAATCGAAATGCAAAGTTTAAAATTCGAAAAAGCAAATGTAGTGCAATTGTAGAAAAAATATTTCCTCCACCAAAAAGCAAAAGTTATGATCAAAGTATTGAATTTCAAGACTTGTTTCAAATAAATCTCGCAAAAATTCTTTCCACAAAGTGAACTCCAATCTCCAAGATTACTTTCAAAAAGTAATCTCCAATCGTTATTTAATATATACTCATTATTCACGATATTCTAAAAATTTGTATCGAAAAAAATCCTTTTTCGAAATGTTCGAAAAATCGAAAATTGGATTTGAATGCAAAGATTCCTTTTCCAAAATGTTCGAAGAATGGAAAATTGTCTTTGAATGCAAAGAAAAGAAAATAAAAGAAAAATTTGAAATAAAAAATGAAAAAATAGAAAGAAAATAATCGTACCTTGACAAAATGAAGATTTTCCTTGTCGAGAAGGAACTCCATGGATTTGTGAGGTCGTTGATTGATGTTCGAGACGCAGGATGCGTCGGAGGGTGTCCTGTGACCAGCGCCAACGGGCGACTGGGGTACGTGTAGGGCGTTCTCGTTAGCCAGGTCGCCGGTTCCACGAGGACGAGTCGTATGATTCAGGTTGAGTAGACTGCGGGTCTTTTTGCTCGCCGAGGTGTTGGTGGAGGGCGCTGGGACGACGCCCTCCTCCGCGGCGTCGAGGTCGGTCTCAAGAAGACCGACAGGCCGATCCTGGGAGGCCTGCATCGTGCGGGCCTTCGCCATCTCGATGATCGCCGGATTTCCAAGGTCTGTTGTTGCACGCCTGCGCGACGATGATGAGGTCGTCGACGATATTCTACCACCGAGCGCCCCCGCACGAGGTGGCTGGGGTGGCAAGGGTGGTTTACTGGATACTGGCGTCCTCCCATTTGAGCTACAATAAACAATCATTCATTAGATATACTCCGATGGTAAATTCACCTTTTGTTGCAAAATCATTTCTCCCCTCTTCATTGCCCACTATCTCCTCGCTCTCATTGATTATCTTTCTGTTGATAACGAAATTGTTTATCGAACGTGGACCAGATGGCACCAGACGTTTCTTACTTTTCCCTTTTCAATCCCCGATTCAAATCCAAAACAAAGCAATTCGACAAAATAATTCACAAATAGAATTTGAACAAAATAATAGAAAAATAATTTAAAAAGAGTTCGAAAAATAATTTGAAACAAATGCGAAAACCAATTTGAAAAGAAAATCGAAAAATAAATTGAAATGAATTCGAAAACTAATTTGAAACGATTTCGAAAACAAATTTGAAAAGAAATTCAAAAAATAAATTGAAACGAATTCGAAAATTAATTTGAAAAGAATTCGAAAAATAATTAAAAAACAAATTCGAAAAAAATATTCTAAAGAAAACAGAAGGAAAATTTCATCCTAAAACGATGAATCAACGAAACCAAAGTACCGACTTGAAAAATTACTACAAAAAGAGAATTTTTGCGAAAGACAATTTTGCTGAATAAACGCTGCGATTTCTTGATAATAATTATTCTTGACAATTATTATTCAGTGCAGGTTTCCTTAGGTGGATGCGAGGGAGGAAATGATCACGTCACCGATCTCTCGATGCGAATATATAAGAGAACGTAATAAACCTATATTAGTAAAAAGAAATAAATAAACGAGAAATAAAAAAGGAAATATTGTCCATAGATCTAGAATTTTTCTGAACATCTGAACTAATTGAAATTCCAAGGGAGAAGAGAAAATAGGGTCAGTTGAAGTAGTCTTAACTGTCGGGTTAAGTTCTCTACTTATTATAATAGATGCGTCTCAGACAGTCAATGGCACTTTACTTCTGAGGGCCCTCAAATGAAAATTAAATCGACTCAATTGCTCCAACATTCGTCGCTACTCGTTTTTCAAATTCAATCTCTACAAAAACATTTCTATATATATTTTCGGTCTCTTTGAAATTACTCGAAAAATACTAAAAATACCCAGATTCGTTATAATTTATAATTTTCCAGTTTTTGCAAATAAATAACTTGCAAGTGAAATAACTTTTCAGTTTTTAAACAATTCTTTTAGATTTAATTTATAATAAACAGTTTTATTTACAGGCCTCCGATCGACTCTAAAGCGCAAAAAAGTAATTTCTCAATTAAAAATACGAAAAAAAGTCGAGAAAGTCGTTTATTTATTTTAGTGCTGCCACAAAAATTTTATTTTGTACTTTATTGACTTTTCACTGATTTCTAATTCAATTATTCAAAAAACTTTCAATAATTTTGTTAAATAAATAATTAAATAATTCCTATTTATTTCTACACGAGAAATACAATTTAAAAATTTCTAATTTAAAACTTTTTGAAATTTAATAATTTTTAAAAATTACAACTCTTTCAAAATTCAATTATTTTCTGCAATTCTTAGCTAAATTTCATCTCTAAATCAATTATTTTTAATAATTTTCCGAAGGTTCTTCGAGAATTAAATTATTTAAATAAAAAAATTTAATTTTTAAAATAATTGTAACTGTAACTGCTCATTTTTTTATAGTTATTAAGATATAATATTATCAAAAACTTATTCAATTCAAAAATTCCCAAATGATTGAAATTTTCTAAAATCTTTTAAAAATAATTGATTTTATTGATAATTTTTGAGGAATTTTAATTCAAAATTTTAAACACAATTTATTTCAAAATGTTAAAAATAATTATAAAAAATTTTAATTTTATTATTTTTTGTATGAATCTGAATTTTCGAAAATATTTAATTAAAAATATTAAAAATAATTGAATTTTAAAAAATTAAAAAGAAAAAATTCTAATAATTACTTTTTTTCAAAAATATTTTAATACGATATTTTAGAAGCCAAATTTTCATTAATTTTCAATTTTCAAATTAACTGTTGAAGATTTTTCATTAAAATTTTTGAGAATTCAATAATTATTTTAAAAATTTGTTATTAAAATTCTTCAAAAGTTGATTTTCAAAAATTGTAATAAAATTCTTGAAAAAAATCAATTATTTTCAATATTGGCAATTAAAATTCTTTAAAAGTTGATTTTCAAAAAATTTAATAAAATTGTTGAAAAAAACCAATTATTTTCAATATTTGCAATTAAAAGTCATCAAAAGTTAACTTTTAAAAATTGTAATAAAATACTTAAAAAAATCAGTTATTTTCAAAATTTGCAATTAAAATTCTTCCAAAATTGTAATAAAATACTTGAAAAAAATAAATTATTTTCAAAATATGCAATTAAAATTCTTTAAAAGTTGATTTTCAAAAATTTTAATTAAATACTTGAAGAAAATCAATTATTTTCAAAATTTGCAATTAAAATTCTTCAAAAATTGTAATAAAATACTTGAAAAAAATAAATTATTTTCAAAATTTGCAATTAAAATTCTTCAAAAGTTGATTTTCAAAAATTGTAATTAAATACTTGAAAAAAATGAGTTATTTTTAATTAAATTTTACAAAATTTCAACTATTCAAAACTTTTTTAATTGTATATTTCGGAAATTTAATTAGAAAAATTATTCAAAAATAATTGTTAAAAAATTTGTCTATAATTATACTTTTTAAACTATAAAAATTGAAATAAGTTGCAATTTATTCTGAAAATATGTTATTTTGTTGCAATTTTTAGAAAAAAAAGTCGAAAAAGTCGCATTTTTTGAAAATAGTCGAAAAAAGTCGAAAAAAGTCGAAAAAACTACAATTTGCTAGGCCTGAACGTAAATTAAAGTCCATTTCATTAATATTGGGAGAATTCAATGTTAATGAATTAGAATTATTCAGAATTAAATCGATTAAATTAAATTATTTAGAATTAAATCGATTAAATTATTCAGAATTAAATCAATTGAATTATTTAGAATTAAATAGATTAAATTATTAAGAATTAATTAAATTAAACATAATTAAAGAGATGAATTAGACGATTTATAGAACATATTGCATTGAATGTTGGAGCTCTCTTTTGAATGGTGTGAAATAAAAAAATGAAGCAATTTGAGATTACAGTCTGATAAAGAGTCAAATCGGCCGGTTCACTTTGCGTTAATCTTTGCTCACAAGCATCCATATTATTTCTTCGTCGTGCTTATTTATCATGTCGTACTTATATGGCAAGTTGATAGAGGCTGTCCCGCCTTGCACGGAAGTTATATATCGAGTGAGGCAATAATTTCAGACTGAATGCTGACTATATATCGGAGGCCTTTATAGATGCTATGCGGAGAGAAAAAAAAATGTATCTTACGCATCATAATTTCGACCTCATTTTGACAAAACTCCATTTACTATGTGAATCTTATTGATCATCTTTCTTCAATTCGCACTTTTCATTTCTCCGAAGAATTTTTATCGATGAAAATACTCGATTTCTTATAATACTGTATTATATAATGTTATCCGTTTATTTGAATCTTTCTCGCGAAGACTAATCTGCAAAAAAAGTTCACACAAATTAACAGAGTGCCAAATGATTCTTAACTAAAAATAAAAACAATTGGAGAAAAAAAGTTTGGAATTCATCAAAGCTGTTAATCATCAAAAGATTAAAAATTAAATATTCATCAATTCATCGTTCGGGATGATTAGTTATATTCTCACTAGTCCGGAAGTAATTGTAAATAATTAGCAATTTCTGATGTGACAATATTTATTCTGTCGATTAAGAAAAAAAAACCTTGTGTGTCTGTATCAAATTACTCTTAACAAAAAAAATTCACCCATTGTCTTTCTCTTTTTTTTCATCATAATTCATCGATTTAAAAAAGTCAAATTAAAATGATGATCCAACATTTTCTGTTTCGAGTTTATTGCACAATTCTATAAATTTCTGTTTTTCTTCCCGTTGCTCTAGTTTCGATTAAATTACTTATTGGAATTAGAATTAATTAATCCGTTTCTGAGACCATTCACTCAATTAAGCTGTATGAGGGAAATTTCAGTTTAAATAGAAAAGAATTGTGCAAACATTTCAGAAAATAAACTCGCAGTCATTTAATTTCTATTTTTTAAATTAGAGAAAAATTGCAATTTTTTTTTATCACACTTATATTAATGAAATCATCTCTGTTGCGTTGCAATAAAAATAAAAAACCGGTTTTTAGCATTTTAAAAAATCGACACATCAAGGTTGACAACTTGATTATGACAATTCGCCAAAAAATTTGTAAATCATAACTAAATTATTGTTTACAAAATAATTAATTAAATTGCTACTTAAAAAGAAATAAATTAAATGATTTACAAATTAATTAATTAAATTATTTACGAATAAGTTAATTAAATTGTTTATAAATTAATTAATTATTCGTTTTATAACGTAATGTACATAAAATATAATTATCAAAATAAACATCTAATTATCAAACTCATAAAAATAAAAAGGTGGAAACGAATTAAAACCAAAAAATGAAAACCAAATTCATTAACAAAAGAGAAAAATTTCTAAAAGGGAATTTCTAATTGAAGAGAGGAAAAACTACTCTAAAAGGTTTAATTAATAACACCACAAACGCTCCAAATTCGATCGATTAAATTTTATTATCTCCCAGCTTCTACTCTAATTCTCTATTCTAATAAAAAAGTTTCCGATTTTTATATTCAAACAGAAACTTATTTTAACGTTAAATATATTATCGATTTCTATTAATTTACAAATTTTTCTTTTTTTCGTTTCTATCGTAACAGTAGCTTATTAATTAATCAACAATTATCGTAAACATTTAAAATACCCACATTTGAAGAAGTTTCGATTAAAATTCATCCTCAAAAAGAAATTTTAAAAAATTTTTTTTTTCTAAATTAAATTAAAAACTTTCTTTTCTAAATTAAATTAAAATTTTCTTTTCTAGATTAAATTTAAAATTAGAATTTCTAAATTTTCTCGTAAGCAAAC